TGTTTGCACTTATGTTTCCCCTATTTGTAGAGAAGAGAAGGGGTGTGGTGTTCATCCGCCGTAACCGAAAAACGACCCAACCAGTTGTAATTTCTTTCTTTAGTCTCTTCTTTATCTAGAGGTAGATATATGAACTGTATCGTGGATAATACCAACAGTTAAGCGCACATCTCACACACGCACAGTATACAATCAGGTGTGACTGGAAAAGTGAACAGGTAGAGAGATGAAAAGCCATTGATTCTTGTAGAGTCCATAAATAGGACGGATCATGGGGACGATGTGCACAAGGACTGAGGAATGATACTGACACAAAAATGTGTGAGATAGATCGTTCACATCGTATTCTATTAGGACGCTAAATACTGCTACGCTTGGTACATTTTTCAACGATACACATCGACTATTCATGAGTAGTGTGATGTACCAATAAAAACTTTCAATCTGATATCAGAATAACGTAACCAGCTAGAAAAAAAAGTCCAGAAGAGTGGCACAATCCAGTCTGACCAGCACGCTTGAGTCCTGTTACGAAACAGAACTTATGCTAACTGGCCACGATATACTATTGGTGCTGATATTCTTCTATGACTTGCGAATGGGAAGATCCTAACATCTCATTAGGTGGATACGTCGAGTCAGGCTGATCGACGGCTTTCGGCAAACCGGAATTGATTCAATTCTAACTGAATAGCCCGATGGATAAACGACATTCCAAGGAATAAGACCCTCTTGAAAATACGAGATAGATTCTGGTTTCTGTAAATTCTCACGGGGAAACACTAGTTGAGGTTACTATAAGAGTCTTTGTTTATTCACAATATGAACTTCTAAGTAGTAAATGAAGAACGCAGTTTGTTTAGATGCAGTTCACATGTCGATGTTACTCAACCTGTTGTCCAACCGAGCTATGGTGTTGAGGAACCAGTTATCGTTGATCCGTTGAGCAAGCATTTTGGAGCGGTTGAGAGAGGTCCATGTGGACTTCATCCCTCAGTTACGGCGAAACGCAATCAGTCAGTGGATACACGGATACGACGAATAAGCATCGACGCTCTTTTCTGTTGACCCGTAATGAACCATCCAGACGTACAGCGCGAACTTGGCTAATAACCCGGATCCAATCGAGGAACGAACACTCGGCCTTTACATTTAGCACAATCCCGACTCCAGCAACATCGCGAGCTTCAGATGCCGAATCGTCTGACACACGAGGAGGTCGGATCTGGAGATCGCAAGGTGTTGATTGAGGTATAGTCTTGTATGCGTGCTTCGGAGATACAGCATACATCTACATTATAAATTTCAAGGGTTCTAGCTAAAGCTGTTTGCTAGAGTGACTTCTACATGAGCGAAAGTGGATAATCAGAGGAAGCTAGGTGCCCAGGCAGCTGGTCTTATGAGACTGAGCTTCGTCTGGCCTCTACCCATTGACCTTTTAGGCATTACTGGACCTGTCTGTGAGGAGCCATCCTGTGTAGCTCGCAGGCCGTTACACCATGTCAACGTACAGTCTCGTCGTGATGGGCACTCAAAATGTGGTAAGTATAAACCATTGTCTAGGATAATGGTAGTCCGCATAGTGTTCGTATATAGAATGACAAAACATCCTCCATAATTATGTTGATCTCGAAGAAGTGTATTCGACGCAAGAGAGAACAACCACAGTCATGGTGACGAACTTGAGGGTGTGGCTGAATCAAACGCATTCAAAAGAGATTGAGCAATATGAATTGGTCTCTGGTTCGTGCCTTTATCTTACTGATGTCACGAGAGTTTCTTTGCTTAACCTAACCGTGAGGAAGAGAAACAAGACACGAGCCGCACGGCATAGCCAGGTCTTCGTTAGCTAAATAGAAAGAATGGATACAAATCAATCGATCAACTATGGCCCAAAGGAAGAACAGACCAATAAGATTATGGCCTTGCTTAGTCGACTATTCGGTTAAGCCGCTTTGATGAACAAGTTCAGTTATCGTCCAATCGGGATAGCCTAGTCAATCCAGTGGTGCGCATGATGATCGTCTGTCGTATCAGTCAATTCCTAAGAAGTATGTTCAATGAAGTCCCTGAACAGCTGAGCTCTCCCGGTCAGGGTAATCACTCTTCAAACATTAGAAAACATCGTTACTTGATACGGTCGACCCCATTCCAAAATGCCTAAAGCAATTGGAAGCACTGAAGTGTTCAGTTGACTAACACGCCAGAGCCGAACTCACTGAATGGGAGAGAAACAGCTCCCTTCTTGAACGCAGACAATTGGGTGAGGTTTTGAAGGATCAGGAAGGCAAACAAATCTGACGGAAAAATATGTATTCAGGATTGTGTGTGTGCGTAATGAGGACAGAAGTACCAGTTGAACTGGGCGAGTTCACAGACAAAATACTCAAGGAAAACGGTCGAAACGGCGGATTTACAGACACGCGGTAGAGTTGTTGCATGTGAGAGGTGTGTACACGAGTGGGCGACCCGCAGATCACAATGGTAGAAAACGTGTCAATCCCCACGGTTGAATGATCAAGAAAAGGATGAACACGATAATCACAGCATACTGCGGAAATCGATCATGTTCATGGGAAGGTGGGAGTACCGGGGACCTTGAACGGAGGAAAAACAACGGGCACAACCGCATTACGCCTCCAAATGTGGCTCAATACGTCAAGGCACCTTGCTTCAATGCGGAAGGCGATAAGAAAAGTTGAGGTGAGGAATCAAACCGTTTGCATCTCTTGTATTGTACATCATCGACGTGCTTGACGTAGATAGAATATCAAAATCAGTAGAAGACCGGCCATAATCGGAATGGCATAATAATCCCAGTCCATTTTTCCAGGTGAAGTTGATGTGGATGTTGGATCGGATTCTGAGGAATCCATAGGAGTGTCCGGAGTAGATGTGTCAGCGGGGATTGAGCTAGATGCGCCGTACCAAAGGCGTTGGACGAATTTCATCTGGCATGGTTAGGCAAGAATGAACATGAAACACAATGGAGAACATTATTTTTTCAGTGGTGTTCAGATCAGCAAAGAGATGATGCGAAAAATGGCACGCCTATAGTCGGTCATTACACAGGCATTTAAAAGAATCCACGTGACGGATCGATTGAAGTTTACGAAGCGAGAAGAAAAGGAACGTGTGTGATTCAGTGAATTTTCAAGGTGACTGCGCATCAGTGACTATTGTCAGACTAAATTTAATGTTGTTGCAGATTCCAACAATCTTACACTCCATTTGGTTGTCTCGGCACTCACTTTAAAGTAACCCGACACGGGAACTAGGCAGACGTCAATGCATCTAATTGCGTGATATAATATTTGATTCCACCAGCATTTCACGGGACGTATCAATTCGCACAGAGGTGAAAGTTTTTCTTTCTACCTATGAAATGTGAGTACATTGGGGATATCGTGTTTTGTGTGAACTAAAACATGAGGCGATATCAGAACCATCGTCTTCCATTAAATGAGCTCGTGGCATAAGATGTTCACTGAGATGTGGGTCATTTTGAGAAAATGGGCGACTGAACTTGGTTGTGAATAACAAGACTTACAAACATCACGGTGTCGCATTCACTTAGCCCTTTTGAAAAAAAACAGAAACGCCAAAAATACATATCTGCATGTTATCTCAGTTTCCTATATATATATATATATATATATATATATAACAACTAGTTTTGGGAAGGGCATCACTGCTTTTCGCACGTTTACTGCGCATAATTTTGATATATTTTGTTGTTTACTTTTAAGAAAGTCACCATCCATGTTGGTTTGGGTATGGCGATCAGTGTGGTAGGCGAGAGAGCAGTGGAGGGCGGCGTCATCAGCAAAAGAATGGATCGGGTTAGTAGTTTGAGAAAGGAGATGATTGATAAAGAGAAGGAAGAAGGTGGACGCAAGTACTGAACCTTGGGGAACACCAGCGTTCACAGGGAATGGCTGGGATAGAAACCCATCAACTCGAACGGAGATGGTTCGCTTACTGACAGACAAAAATTCTATTCATGTTGATCTTAAATTGTTTTGCTGTTTCGAAAGGACGAATCACTTAAAGCATGAATCTAGAACAACTGACAAGATCAAATAAGCCCTACAAGTCAGTCACCAAGCCCGTCACTTGCGTGGGTCGATCGACGGTTGTCTTCAACACCGACCTGATCGAGGGCGGATTGATAATGGTCTCAGACCTAGTTGAATTTCTGAATACAGGCATCGTTCATGCAGATGAACTATGGCTTCGTGGGAACAACTGGTTTGTTGAGTATCGTTTAAGCTAAACTAAGCAGAAAACCTCAAGTCAACGAATATGTTCAAAACGTAGGCCAAAGGTCTACACACACTAGTAAAGTTAGTCTCCATATGCATCGTACGTTCAATCCTATCGCCTGTTTGAAGCGGCGCAATACGATAGGATAGGCCAGTATGTGTACAATCAAGTTGCCTGCCACCGAAGTCCAAGGTGACCGGGTACGCATTTTGGAAAATAATGCCCATAGCAGAAGAATGACAGCAAACTGAAACGCTGGAGCACAGCTACTACTCGGCCTTGTTGTGGAGTTCCTAGCATCTGTTCAGCTCATTCTCACAGCAGTTACAAAAAGCTGCTGTTGGACGGACGATAATGAAGTGAAAGAGTATATGATTTTTGCCGAAAACCAGTAAGTGAGAACAACGAGCACCTCGGAACCAGTGCGTAGTCAGATTCCGAGCACGTAGTCCAGAAGGACTTACAGTTCGGTACTGAGCCACACCAAAAGCATCTTACTTCCATGTGGTCCAGTTGGTTAAATTACTTCGCCGAATCACTGTTCATGTCACCGTGTGTTGAGACTTGCAATGCAAACCGATATTGGACATGAAAAGCCAGTGATCTGTGTAAAATTGTTAGGACGGAGCCTAAGAAACCCGTCCGATCGCGCACGCCTCCGAGTCAGGCCACACGCACGCTCGCAACGCTCCAGACAGGCTGAACCTGATTGGATGATCACAGAACGTATCAGCCAATGTTTGTCCAATCGATCAACCGTCCTCGTATGCACGATTAGATCTATTTTTTTCGACATATCGATAACTTACCGAAGAATACACGCTGACTGTGGTCTTAACTTGTGTTCTCTCTCCGCGTTGTCGTTGGGGGTTAAGCAAGAGTCGCTCGTGCCATTCGTACACATAGACGAAACACAACAAAATAGAATAAACTGAGTTATTTGATAGCCGGAAGGGTATGGTACAAAGACCCCTCCATTAAAATCACGCTAGCAAAACCGAATCTGAACATCAATTAGGACGGATTTATCCGGTAGGTTTGTCGGACAACGTTCATTTTGCACTGAAACTGTGTTCTGTCCAGACCTGTACTGCCATCGCGGACAAATTTATTTTGGTGCTGCTTCTATTTCGAGGATCTGTCTACAGGGCCTTGCAGATGCAGTGCACACTAACAATTAATTGTGGAAACAGGCGAGCAATGAACCTGATTTTTTCCACTCCCAAACACCCAGCAAAACCCAGTGGGAAAATACACCCGGAACTAGGCCACGCAAACTTACCAAACCGAATTCACGCAGATAGTCAGATCCGAAGTAAATGGAGAGCCGAGCTAGTGCCAAATTAACCGGGATTTTGGCGTCCATTGAGGCTTCTGCGGCCATATCATAGTAACGCTTCGCTAGATGGATGTCCTTCAAAATATAGAAACAAGACATCTACGTAAGGCGGTACACTGGTTGGGGGAATGCAGAATTAAAATAATTATTTTTCAATAGTTAATTTTACGCAATAACACAGCAAGCAATAGAAAAATATATGTAACTACCACGGCAACTAAACCGTTGGAGCTTTAGGATCGATATCAGGGGCTCGTCAATTCAGAGGCATGAAGAAGCTGGCTGCAGCTTTGGTTTCGGTTGGTGCAGCCCGCCTTCCAGGTTGGGGCCCACAGGATGAGGACTGTCATGGGTTAGAGACGTTCAGAAATATGGCCCAGAATAGAAGTCAGTGGTGCGAATGCTATACAGTCTGCCTGGCGAAATCCCGTGCCCATTAAGAAAAACGAAACATCAAACAACAAAAAATTGCAAAAGATGTACGGTGAAACACACAAAAAAATTCTGTTATCTTGTATTTTCCATGTTTAACT